ACAATACGTTCCGAGAAATCCAATGTAATATTACTTGTAGTGTTATTTAATATAGTTGTCAGCGCTTCTCCGTCTCTCGCGACGCTAAGGCTTTCGGGAATCTCGCAATTATGTATTTCATGGTGAGGAATGATAATTTCGCCGTTATTTATACTTGTTCTAATTTTTATCACTTGTTCTGAACGCGGTGAAACTGATATCAAATTAAGTTCGTTTTGAATGCTATGACAATATAACTTAATCTTTGCATGTGGTGTAATCAGAATATTTTTATCAAAATCTAATCTGGCTTGAAGAAGTTTGACATTATCGAGACCAATTAGGCCATCAAAAATATTAGAGAATTTGAATAAGTAGAATTTTAGATTTCCAGGTATTTTAAAACTATTAGAAATATAAATCGACGCACTGAATTTATGGGCTGATTTTTGAAACACTGTCGAAACTATGAACGGATCATTTTGAATGGTATTTGGATATATTTTAAATGTGAAATGTGGACCAATAAATGATTTTGTTGAACCAGAGTCGATCAGAAACTTTGGGTTATGTTCTGGTAAGATAATGTATGGTAATTCACTAGAACTTGAATTATTGATTGATTTAATAGTAGACATTATGTTTGTTCTGAAGTTTGAGGCTTCTCTGAAAAATTTGCATCATCTTCATACATATCGCAAGTATTTGAATATGATTGCGGATCATTTTGATAGTTATCTGAGGTGCTTGGCATCGATCGATCATCGCAATTGTAGCTTACTGCATGTTCAAGAAATCGCTGCAATCTAGATGTTCCAAAGCGAAGCCAGTTCAGCCAGCCCTCGAAGAAATTAGCCTTCCAGTTGTTCAACTAACCCGCTGCACTCCGTAATTGAATTTTTGAGGGTAGGAATTATCTCACCACCTAGCCGAGGATTCTGCTTTGAATGATAGCCAAGCAGCAATAAATCGTATGATAATTAAAATTCCTCCAGTTAGTACAAAAGTAGGCAAGAAAGAGTGGTAAAATAGGGGGTTTGATAGGAAATTCAATATTGCTCCTTTTCCTGATGTCTCTTTAGATATTGTTCTCAATAAGGATTTTTGCATGAGATCACCTTCAAAAACATAATCTATAGTCGCTGTCATGCTCATGTTCACTTCAGTGAAATAAAACTCACAAACTGAAGGGTTGTCATTGATTAGCAATTGCTGTGGATTCTCTTGGCAAGAGAGATAATTCTGAAGAACACTGCAGTTAGTTTTAAAATATAATATTTTCTCAGAAGTAAGATTCTCAGCCACAATAATCAATTCAGTCATCTGAGTGCAACTCCAGCAACCAAATGAGGAGATTTGTCTAAACGGGCATCCTGGAGTTCTGATGTTTATTGATGATACTTTTTCCATAACTGCCATGATTTTTAATGATCCTGGCAAAGTATTATATGAGTAGATCATTTAATTTTTTAATTTTGTAGCAACTTCTTTATAGTTATTTCCATTAAAAGTCTTGAGAAATGGCTCTGGAACTTGACAGTACAGGTTGCATCCACTTTTGAAACAATGCACTAATCCAGGTGGGTATATAGTTTTATCACCTTTTAGAGAAATTCGGAAATCACCTAAGTGGTTAGCTGTTGGCTGGTTCAGAGGATCATCTTGAATGGAATATGTTTTAGATTTAGGAGTTCTTAGTAAAGTTCAGTGCCTGATTACAGAAGAAAAGACAAGAGATTACTGACATACGCATGGGACCAGGTATCAAGGGGGTGTCAGATGAAAAAAGATACATTTCATCTGGTTTGACTGAGTGCTGAAATCTAATTCTTGCCTCCCAGTCTTCTGATAGAGCTGAGTAGATGGTGTACATATCCCCATCAGGCACTATTGTCCAGTCATAAAAAGCGCATTCTGTCCCTCTAAAGCAAGAATAACAGCACATAGAATCACTCAAACATCCTTCTGATCTAGATAGTGATGGAATAATCGATCCCTTGAAGTGTTGAGTAATGCTCCCGTTTAAACCTCTTTCACTCTTTATCGATCCTTTATCTCCACAGCTGGAATAATAACACATCCCTGAACCTTGACATTGCAGCTCATGGTGCCTTAGTAATTTGTATGAACTAGTCATGTACTCTCTTTTATAACTGATTTTTTTTTGTAGGCTTTCTAAACTTATGGAGCAACTCTCTCCATTGGATGTTGAAAAGCTTATTTTCATGCCAGATGAAATGGTTAATAACCCATGACTTTCAGTGGAGCAGTGAGTGTGTGAGTGAGCCTTCTGCAGTTCGGTATTGAGTTTTGGGGTACTTCTGTTGAATCAACATCTACCTTCATTATACAGAAACGTGCGATTCGAACAGTATTCAATCTGAGGTACAGAGATTCATGTAGGAATTATTTCGTGAACTATGAAATATTTACTTTAACCACCTTATATATATACAAAGTCTCGCTTCTGATCCACAAAAATAGTGGTTCCATGTTGCGCCCAGCAGATATCCATTCATACCCAACCAGGAACCAGTCTATAATCCTTCCAAATTATCGACTCAATAGAACTCGTAAGGGACCCCTGTATACAGGGATTAATATTTATAATCACCTACCGGAAGTATTGAAAGCACTATCTATGAATAAATTCAAGGTCGAGTTGAAAAAATTATTACACCAACATAGTTTCTATAACCTAGATGAATTTTTCAATACCATTTTATAATATTACCATGCATATACTATAATCATGTCTGTAACATTGGTTTTATGATATCTAGCTTTTTCAGTCATCTTTTCTTCACATAGATAACTTATATTGCATGCGACTTGTCTAGCCATTTTCCCTAAGCTCTATGCGATGAAGATACACCGAGATATAATTTCATTGTTATACTTCTTAATATTATGTGTCTGTATAGGTATACCTGTTATCTGCAGATATATTACAAATCTGTATCTTTTGGGAAATAAAAATCTATCTATCTATCTATCTATCTATCTATCTATCTATCTATCTATCTATCTATCTATCTATCTATCTATCATGACATATTCTGTTATCATTAGAAATGTAAAAAGAATGGTCACACTGGTGCGATAAGTCCACCAAGGCTAGCAAAAAGCAATAAAATATCTTTGGTTTTCTCTTGATCTGAAATTGCTGAAAATGGAAAGCTGTGTTACTAACTAATACGGGAGATCTGCTAGGGCAATAGCTAGTAGATTGCTTAACCTGAGTCCTTTTGGATTTGCAAGATAAGATCAATAGGTCTTTTTTTATTTCTCTCCCGAGGTGTCTGTCAATAAAATCATCTGATTCTGCTATTGCCAACCACTCAAGAAGCTCCTTCCTGTTACTAGCAGATGAATCTTCTGCAACTTCTTCTTCTGTTTCTATGCCATTAGTACTCATAGGAGTGGGAATCTCTACAACTGCTTCATGATCCATTTTTCTTTTTTTATCCTCTAGAGCCATACACACACCCTCTACAAAATGTTTTTTTTCTGCTAACCTTAGTCTTTCTGTTTTCTTCTATATGGATCTTCAAGTGGTGTAGAATTACAATTGGGTTTAGCCAGCCACTTGGATATTTCTTGGCAAAATGTCTAAGCATTAACCATAAAGCAAGCACTACAATAAAAGATAATATGATTAACAAGGAAATAACAACCATGTTAGTCTTACAAGGTTCCAGCAATTCATTGTGAGAACAGAAGAGGCAATCATCACACCCATCAAACTTGCTTACTACACTTCCATAACATCCTGAGCAATTGTACTGATAAAACCCATACTGCCTCCCAGGTAGAATGGCAAAAGATCCATTTATTTCATAGTCTCCTTCATAGAAGTGGCAAAAAGTTCTAGTGCTAATTGTTTTGTATCCCTTGAAAGAATGTACTGTGGGGCATATTTTCCCCACCACAAAAAGAAAATTGCCTATTAGACAGGCCCAAGAGGGAAGATACATGCTTAGACTGCAAAGCTGAACCTTACAACCAACTCCTCTCTTCTCCATTGTTTCAATTTTCTTTTTTGTTGACCTTCTGTGTGTGTGAGATATTATTATCCTTGTTAACTATTCTAGAATTCAATTCAGATTCTCACAGTATGTCTGATAGAGTTGGCAACAAATGGAGAACTTTGTTATTACCTACATATTTATTTTCGGAAAAAAGTCATTTTTTATAAAAAGTTATATAATGTCTAAAACCAAGAATAATGCAAATATATATCAGGAATCACTTTTTTTCAGTTATATTGTCGAAAATAGAGGTAAGTATAGGTACTTATTCATTCTTGAACAAAACTGAAATTCATTGACATACCTCGTATGTATACGACTTTCGAAATTTGACACTTTCATTTTCAGTTTTAGGCCTCACAAAAGTTTTCATCTGTTGCCAATATTTTCAGACCCATTACTACTGCATATGATGGTCGAGAAAGTCAATAATAAGTATAGTATAGTGAGATATGGAAGTAATGATGTCTGTTATATTGCTCATCAAAAATCAAATGTCACAAAAGTGAACAGCGCATTATTCATATGCAATCGAAAATATATGTTGGAAAATATCATGTACCTCTCCAATATTCTTGTTCGAATCACCAAGAACTGTAAACATGCCACCTAAAGTGTTTGATATATCCCGTAGGACCATCTTTATTTCTTTCAGCTCATGAATTATCTTCGTATTCTGTAAGATAATATATCCGTTTTCTCTTTTCAGGAATTTCTTCACTCATCAATGGTCGTTCTATTGATTTCTTCTTCATTGAGCAAGGGATAGATGTTGACTCGGAAAGTTCAAGTGGAACTGATAAGCTAGTGGATGGACATTCCGGCATAATATCCTCGTTATTTTCGAGGGCCATATCATTTTTTTGGCTACTTCAGATGAAGACAAGCCATATTCCTCTGTATCCAAACCTATAAAATGCTCTCCCAATGAATAAATTTGAGCTCTAGTTCACTCAAGTTATTGTTATCTGGGGGTCCACCACCAGTTTTTTACATTCTGTTTCTGATTTCGGCTGCTTTCCTTCTCAAATTATATTTATAATCAGTCCTTTTCTGAAAAAATAAAAAATTACTATATATTTTCCTACTATATTCTCATGAATAATGAATAGGTACACATAGCACACGATATATTATGTAGGTACACTTATTTACATAACTATGAATTACATATTATAGGTGGGTATTGTTACTCATGAAAATGAGGAATTGGAAGAATTGATATACATACTTTCTGCCACTTCTCCGTAGTTCTAGTGCCCAGTTCTGACGAATTCAGTTTGTTGGCAGTCTGCATCCATAATTTTTCATAATTCCTATTCGACCTCACAAGTTCTCCGGTTGCAATCAGTGAATTTTCTACCATGGCTTCGGCAAGTACCTCCCAATGGGCTTCTTTAACCTTGAAAGCCATATTTGATACCTTTTTTCACAAAATTTCTGCTGACGCTCTTTTTCAAATTCAAATTAATGACATAAATCCACTTATTATTTGACAGATCGATCCTGCCAGATATAAATCTCAATTCCATGGGTTCAAAAATCCGAGGAAACCCGAACGTCAATTCGATATCGACTCGATAGAAACCTAGAATCGATAACTGCTCTCGTGTCGCCTTGGCGAATGTCTCGTATCGACTCCATACGATAGTTTCTTAGAATTCACCGGTTGATGGGATGTTGTTTTTTTGGCAAACAGAATGATCTGGCCATTAAACCGAATTTCTCAATCTCTGGTAATATATGGTGATGATGATTTCGAAATATTCTGATGCAGTTGTTGGAGCGATTTTGAAATGATATGCTAAATCTTTGAAATGTAGATCTAATCTCAATTTCATCAGTGTGAGAAGTACATGATTGATGAGACTGAGAGCAGTTGTAGATGTAGGGAGAATATATTCATCCTGTATTGTGAAAATAACTGAATTAACAATATTATATTGAAAACTAGTATAATATTTCCATTTGTTGGCATCACATTGTTTGTCCATCTTCTTGTCCATCTTTATTACTATCATCATCTACGAACACATTCCACTGAAAGGTTATTGCCTGACATGAAAAATTATCATATCAAGAGCACATGAAATCATATCTCCAGGTTGTGTGTATAGTACTTAGGCATATTTTTATATATTCGATTTGCTTGACATTGATTTTAATGCAATGCAAAGTCATATAAGATCAACTGCACTATTTACCTCTTGCAGATTGATTTTCTTTCTGTCCAATCTCACTTTTCGTTCAAAATCCCATGACTCTTCTTGATATTTTGTGAATAATGCCACATGTTTTGGGAATGGGTTCCTTCCAGGATTGGTTTCATCCTCTAAGGAAGCAGCTTCAACTACAAATAAAAAGTATCATTTATGCTGATAGATATTCAAGTTTTTTTGTTTCTTTTTCATGTGTTTTTCATAGTAACTCAATAATATACCTACCTACTTATCTTCTCGGGCATCTCTCTCTCAAAAATGTTTACTATACAACTGCCCAACTTACTTCTGATCAATAACATAACATGATGGACATTCGAGGGGCAAACAAGAATAGGAATCTGAAAAATCAGCAAGATCATGATTTATATCAGTCCTTATCACAAAATCACCTGCCTATATCAAATCAATGTGAGGTCTGAGTAGATGATTATAAAGGTTTTTTCCCAAGTTATTACTCAATCAGTGTCCCATGTCCTACCCTGGTTCCAATCCAAGTTGTTTTTTTATATGCCTGTTGGGTACCTTCATCTGAATATATCTGAAACAGCTTAAAATATAATAATTATTGGTATATTTATATAGCCTACTTGATAATTCACACTTTTCGAGACGTCCAAAAAACTGTTGACATAACCTAAAAATTCAATGAATTTTTCGGCATACCTTTGTGGTGATCAAAAGCACCATTAAGATATTCATTTCACAGCAACTCGAGCAATAATGCTTCATGCTCACGTCATGATTCATGAATTCATCAATTCATTATATAACCAAGGTGATCCATAACTTACAGTGGAGGTGATATAAATCAGGAGGGGTGAAAGAACTTACAGTCACAACTCCACCTTATAAAAATGTTTGATAATGACCAACGGTCATTGACATAAGTAAGGACATGTTTCGAAGGATTAATCCTTCATCATCAGCAAATGTGTCAAAAAGAAAATCTGTAAGAAGAAACAATGCTTATGTTAGTTATAAGTATTGATTAAGGAATCTAAATATACCTACCATTATTGGTGGAAAAAGTTCACTCAATACAAAACATGGAGAAATTAATTTTGTTTTTAACCGCGCATAGTACGGGTGAGTTAATGTTAGGGAACCATTATTTCAAGCTCAATAATAAGAGCTTAGATATTTAAAATAGTGACAAAATTCAATTATCAAAATGAACCAACATGTGGAACTGGATTTGTTGAATTAGGTTAACTAATCACAAATGACAATCGACAAATGACAATTGATGACAATGACGCTGAGGACAAAACACAACATCAGAATGAAACCCGTCAAGTCAAAACTAAGAAATGTTTCGATTCGAAGTGACATAGAACACAGAACCAAAATTGTAGTTGAAATACAAGGAGTTGAATAATTTAAGGCTATCGAATTGAGTTTGTTCAGTGAGGCAGTTGAGGTAAAAATTTTTGACCGCTTTATCAGTTTGCAGAGTTTCAAGGAGGTTAAGTTTTTTGCCCTTGTCGCAAATATGTAAAATTTCTATGTTAGATTTGGGATCAAAGGAGTGTTTGTCATTGATAATATGGTTAGGAAAAACAGAATTGGACTAAAAAAAATCTTTTTCAAAATTATTTCCTATAATACGATTGTGTTCTGATACTCTGGTTTTGAACTTGCGACCTGTTTGAGGTGTGCTACATTGGTCAAACAGTATCAGAACACAGTGTAACCTGAAATTCCTGAATTTCTCACGTATAAGGGTTATACAACCACTATAACTTCTGGAACTCACCTTGATGATAACCACAGTTGCATTATATCAAACACTGAAGGAGAAATAGAAGAAACATCACAATGCAATGCACGCACTTTCGATCCAACATCTTCAATGAATAATAATAGTTTTACCTTTCAGATGCGCTATTATTGCCTTGAAAAATACATTCTGGAGTATTTGAACAGTTACAGCTTCTTTCCTATTTCTGTTCACACTAATTTTGTTGATGTTGAACGTGAAACATATCTGTTACTCATCCGATTCGAAAACAGCGTCGTTCATGTGATTTTATGTTTAGAAATTTGAAAGTAACGACACATAGTTCATTATAAAGACAAAACACTAGAGACGAAACACAGTAGTGGCAAGAAAAACGTTTCAGTCGCGTTGTATATACTGGGACGTTCGAATTGCACATTATATATTCGTCATTGTTACGTGTCTGTGGAGAGTAACCATTGTCACTTTGAAAATAACGTCATTAGCAAGCATCTTTTCCATAGGGACGTTTCTTCATGTTTATTGACATCGATGGCGAAAAGGCAGTATCTCGTGACTCATTAATAACCTATTTCACAGGAGAGCAATAAAACTAGATAACTCGATCAGAAACGGTACGTTAATGCATATTTTCGAATATATTGTTTCAAACATCATTTGAATCAACTTGGAATAGAATTTTGTTGAAATTTTCAATAGTGAAAAAAATTGTGTCAGTTACGAGATTATGAGTTTATTAGTACGTTAGTTACGAGGTAATGAAGTTCAAACTAGAACAGTATGAGGTAATGCAGTTCGAATTGTAGCAGTTATAAGGTGGAGCAGAATTAGAAAACATCATTGAAAATAACATTCATTGTGAAAAATGAACTGAACTGAAATATTATGGGAATAACGAATAACTGAACAAAAATAAAATGTAATGTAACCACCTATTCCTATCATATGAGCACAGCCTTGGATAGTCCTAATTGTTATTGAGGAATTATATCAATCAAATTCTCAGAGAATATCTTACAACATTACTGAAATAGTGACAGAATCATGTTACTTCTTTGGCATCTGTATTTGTGTGTGACAAAGAATCATAATATCCCCAACAGTCTTTAGGAATTCATTTTTCAATTGCTTGTAGGTGATTATATTTCATCTTTGTTATAGAATTTCTACATTTATACAAAGGGGGAAATATAAAAGATCTATAATTTTCAAATTTTGATGGTCGAATAGGCAATTCTTGGAACTCTGAGTCGAAATCAATTTTGTAACTTATTATGCAATCATGGTACTTTAGTGCTCTGATGTTTGTTACTACATGACCTGAGTTTGTAGCCCTTGAAGGTCTTATAGATTTATACTTCATTAAATCTTTTTGTCCAAAATTTCTGAAGAAGGTGAATTCTCCATTTCTGGCTATGAATGGCTGTGATGTCCTAGCTTCCCGGGTAATCCTTAATTGATCAGATGGTAAATATATCTCTCCGTTTATGAATCGTCTCTTTTTCGTTGCATGAACACTTTCACACTCCATCTGGGTGTGACCCTTTTCAAGAAATTTTTGAACTTTTTCAATATTGTGTTTCTCAGGGAGGTGTAGCAGAGAATTATGTTGAGCAGGGTTCTTGAGAGAAAGCGAGTTCTAGATTGTGGCAATGATTTAATAACAATAATCATATAAATACACCATACACGGTATTGCAATGAAGAAATTATATTACAGATTGTCAATAGTGATAACGTTGATTAATATGATCGTATAGAGTGATCTTGTATTTACACATCTACAGAGAGAACTCATAATCTACGAAATTATTTGTTCCAACACATTAGACATAACTGAATTTCGATTTCGAGCTGTACAACCATCAGAATATATTATAACTGGTGTTTTATCTTGGAATTTCAAATAATATTCTTCTAAAAAGTCAATCAAAAATGATGCGTATGTTGAATCCTGAATCCTGGTCATCAGCCTGGGTCTCGTCAAACCAATAGCACACAGTATTTTTTGTTGCCAAATCGAGAACTGTGGAGTTATGACATCATGATTTAGTTTTATGATATAAACTGGTTGCAGGTATTTGAGGAGCCAATTTGACGGCTTGGACATCCATCGTAAGGACACGAACTTTACCTCTTTGGGATTTTCCTTTATCATTATCTTTTTCAGTTCTTGCTCGATCTTTCCCAGCAATATGTGATGTGTACTCTTCTTCTGACACATTACCATTTTAGAACATGAAGCAAGTGTCACCCTGGTCCTTTCGCGGAGAAAATAAAGAAATAATTTCTTTCGCGACGTTTTTGAATACTTTCATTGAGAGAATCCCTTTGTTTTTATCTTCACACCTTTTTTGATAAACGCGAAATAAATCAGTCCATGACTGAAAACTCTGTTCTAAATAGAGCCTGTCTGTATCTTTATGACAGTAATGTGATGGCAACTTATTCGGTTCCATGAGGAATAATTTCAAAAATTGTCTATCGACTTCGAATATATCCCGCCGTTTTGTTCTGATAGATACTCTCAGAATTGTATTCGGGCTCATTCCATCAGAAGAATTCAGAGCCCATGTACAGTGTGTCCAGTTTTCGATGCTTTTGTGTGATATCTCAGTTATCTTTCAAGATAGAACCTTGCGGGTTTCGCAATCGTGTGCCACTTTTTTATGAAACTCAAGATGGCCTAATCAGATTCTGCATAACTGTTTCCGTTTATGAGATACAGGGCGATATTGAAAATTTATACTTTTTGGACCCCCTCTTTATCTACGAAGTTTCTCAGCAAAAATGTTAAATTTGAATCTCATCCAATATGGAAGTTCACGCAGAATCTAGTGGCGCACTCAAAATTTTTTTTCGGGGTATGGTTTTGGAGATACGACTCAAACTTATGGTTTTTTTAATGGAACACCCTGTATTTTATAAGCTCATAAAATTCCTAATTTTTTTCTCTTCAAAATGATTTATGATGTATGTATATGAAATTTTCAAAAATGCTCTGAAATCACTGGAACATTGAATTTTAATTGTGGGTTATGGATTTTTCTCATAAAAAAGTTCCAATTGAAGAAATATTCATTTTGATTTTTCCATGAAGACGACAAAAACAATACCAACTGAGGAAACACAAAAATTATGTACCTGATAGCAACAAATAAATAGCAATAACAATTTCATAATGTAGAATAAGCACCAGATTGAATATTTACAAATACAATTGAATTTCGGAATTATTCAATAACTTATTCACTGAATTGTTCAAATTGATGTCCATTTTCCATAACACACAATTGACACATTTTCTCAATGCGTCTTGATACAGTAAGAGTCACAAATATCTTGAAGAACTTCGTGCAACAACAAAGGCAGTTTTCTAGGAATTACAAAAACATCCTTTAATGATTTTGAATGCATTATGCATTTCAATGGATAAGTTACTGATTAATTTCGAAATTCAATTATCTTAGTGAATATTAAATCAGGTGCTTATTCTAGAATATGAACTTTTTATTACCATTCATTTGTTGCTATCAGGTACCTAATTTTTGTGTTATATTAATTAACTAGTGTTGGGATTGTATTTTCCTTTCCATGGAAGAATCAATCGAGATATTCTTCAATTGGAACTTTTTTTAAATGAAAAATCCATAGCCCACTATTAAAATTCAATGTTTTAGTGATTTTGGAGCATTTTTGAGAATTTTATACATATTCATCATATTTCATTTTGATGGGGAAAAAATAAGGAATTTAATGAGCTTATAAAATACAGGGTGTTCCATTTGAAAAATCATAAGTTTGAGTTGTATCTCCGAAACCATACCCAGAAAAAAAAAATTGAGTGCGCCACTGAATTCTGCGCAAAATTCTGTATAGGATAAGATTCCAATTTGACATTTTCGCTGAAAAACTTCGTATATATAGAGGGGGTCCAAAAAGTATAAATTTTCAAAATCGCCCTGTATCTCATAAACGCAGAAAGTTATGTGAAATCTGATTAGGCCATCTTGAGTTTCACAGAAAAGTGGTACAGGACCGCGAAAACCGCAAGGTTCGATCTCGAAAGATAACTGAGATATCACACAAAAGCATCGAAAACTGGACACACTGTACATGCTGACCATTCACCTATACAGAAATATGCGAGTTGTTTACGATCAAATGATACTTGAGACTGGCAGAACGTCTTGAATCTCCTCCTTTAGGTCTGATTTTCTCGCATACTGTGTACTGTGTTTGCCACATCAACTTTTCGCTGATCCCAGGTCATTTGTGACCAGAATTTAGAAAACAAGTTTTGCCCTTCTTCATCTGAAATATTGATGCAACCTCTTTTTTGCAACTGCAACGAGGTTTCAAGTGTCTTTGATCCCGAGGGGTGTCATGGAAAGTAATAATCTGATTCCTTGGCTTCGGAATCCGAGGTAATTCTGCCCCATTATCCTGCGTTTTTTATCTGTTGCTCTTTTATTTGGATTCTGCTTCCTCTTTCGCTTTCCAGGCATTATTACATCATTATCACTATCGTTATGATCATTCAACTCTTGCAATTGCACTGATTCATTCCCATCTTCATTATCTTCAATTCCTTCCTCATCGATTCCGTTGATTTTCTGTTATTTTTCAGGTTCCACAGTTTTTCCCTGCTCCTGGCTTCCATTTTCCTCTTCCGCGTATGCTATTTCCTTTTCATCATAGCCTGTGCATTTATATCTATTGTTTGGAATGTATTTCCTTCTACTTCATTTTCCCTCATTAACTCTGGTTGCAGAGTTCCCACCAGCTGTCGCCTTCTATCTTCTTCGTTCACAATTATTTCTTGTACAGAAAATTCATTCTAAAAACCTTCCCAAGCCTGACTCTCCTATTTCTTGATTCACTCTCTCCGTATAAACTTCTGTAACCAACTTTGAATATACAGTTTCTACCGGCTTCTGCCTTTCGTTTTCGTCCCCCGTAAATTTTCCGACTTCATCACTTCTATCTTTCTGATATAAATTTCGTTGCTTCTGCTTCTTAGCCGATTTCCTGAACTTTCACAAATTATTTCTGCTTCTCTCAGCCACATCTTCGGGACTCAAAGCCCCGTCAAAAATATCGTTTGTACTATATAAGTTACAGTGATATAGTGCGGAGGCAGAGGCCGCGAAATCGCTCGTTTTAAAGACCTACCCAAAATTTCGGTATAACTTAATGGGACCTGTGAAGATCGATTTGTCATGTAATTTCATATAGGGAATGGAAATCTACAACACGCCATGTTGGTCGAGACAGAAGTTATAAGGAAAAAACGAGAAATAATTGAAATTTTCAAATTTTGATTTATAATTGCTGTAACTATCGATCTATTACATATATCTGGATGATTCTTCAGCTGTTCGATAGGCCAATATATGTACTTCAATAATGTTGATTCATTGTTCCACAATTTGAATAAACATATCGAATGAATCACAAAATTCAGTTCACTTTCGAAAATTTCAATAAAATGTATTTTATTCATTCCGCTAAAAGTCATACATCATTAATCCAATTGGAATATTTTGTACACCATAAACTGCGGACTCCTTTTGCGAATATTTTGTCTCGTACATGTATAGATCCATTTTTGATGATAAACTAGCTGCAGCTATTTGAACGCAATGATGCATACCGTTTCCTTCGTCGTGGCAACCCCGCCGGCGTCCATCCCGCCAACATAAAATAGGCACGGTCATTAAGTAATTTCTGTAACTTGGGCAGTATTTATTGTTCCTTTATTCGAAACGGATGATTTGTATCAATAATGATGAATTGGGAGTTCGTGAAATAATCACTGCAGATAGTTCTGATCAATTATTAAGCTCAGTATAAGGACATGAAGATAAAATTATGATAAAAAGTTCTAAATCCGATCTTGCTACTAAATTCGAAACATTTTGTCCGACTATGTTTGAATCACCTCCAGAAATTGATTCGTATTTCTACAAGAAATTGATACGAAGGCATTAAGAACATTCCAGGAATTGGGTGAAGTACTGCTGAACAAAATGATTCGCATATTCAAAGATCATCAGACATGTCGAACAATTTCAATTATATTTGATTGATATGATTTAAAAAATTCAATAAAAAGCAGCGAAAGTATTAGAAGAGGACAGCATAAGGTAGGTACCTATTCCATAAATGGATCAAGAAAATGAACCTGATTATACTATATTTCTGAAGTCAACTTCGAATAAAATATCCCTTATAAAGTGTGTCACCAAATATTTTATCAAACCTCATTTACGATCACCTACTAATAAGGAGATTATTGTAAGGGTCTTTATTCTGAGGCCCTTACTTTGACACTTGTCGAACAGGCTCCTGGGACCTGTCGGGGTTTCTCGAGCGCCAGATTTTTGATAGAGGTGATTTACTTCACCTGCTCCTCCCAACTGAGTCGGAAAGGAGACCCAAGGTAGCAACAGTGAAGAAAGACATCCACTGGGTGTCTGCAGTAAACCAGGGGTCAAAGCTATTGAATTGAGTTGGGTGCAGGGGGCCAAGAGAGCATAGGATTTAATTATACACTCTTGGGGATTCCTGGAATACTGGTTGCTCTGAATAGATGTTTGAGTCGTCACTTCTTGTGACTTGAGTACTACAACTCTTATTACCGGTAGTTTTCTGGAATTTGACTTTGTTCTATACCTTTGTTGTCAGGATAGGGAAATCAGAATCACATAAACAGGTCAAGTATAGGTTTATTCAACTTCTTTCGTTCATCAGGTTACAGGCATTAATTAAAGGAAGCAAAATCTATTATACAAACAGGTTGAGGTTATGATGTTATTACAATTATTAAATTGACCTTCACACTGAAAATTATGACATTCGAGTACAATAGCCATGCGTGTCTAGTACGTTCGGGGCAAGCAAAGGTGCAAGTGCAGGTGCAAGCAAAGCAGGGACAATGAACCACCGAATACGACCGGAAAAGTTGCAAGCGAGGGTTTATTCAGGAAAGTGAGTTTGGTATCGACAGGAATACAGGGATGGAATAGTTTAGTTAAATCATTAACGCGGAATAGACTGGTGAAAAGTACTCCTTCAGGGTGTAGCTCTAACTCTGGCTCATAGCAGTATTCGGAAGCCGTCTGCATGTTGACTTGCGAATCCTACTTTTCTCAAACAAAAGGAGACGGGCCCTGGATCCACACAGGCGGGCTTCCAATCTCGAAACAATCGGAGTAGGGTGTCCCT